ACAAAACAACACAAAAATAAAACCGAAAAAACTTCCAGGTATGTTATTGATGAGGAAATGGGATTACAGCATAAGTCAGAAAATGGTCTGATTTGGGCCCTTTAAAATGGTATAGGAGTTAGAAGCATTAATTTAAAAATGTGCCTTTGTCTTTGTTCAAGAACCTTGTTTATAACCTTTTTATTAAGTCATTCATTTGCTTTTCATGAAGAAACCATAACTTTAAATACAAAATACTAATTATTAATATTAGGGATACATTTTTTCCCATATCATACACCCCTGATCAGAACTTATTCAACTTCAAAAAAGGTTCTCCAAGCTGTTTCTTCTGGTGAGCTGCTGTATAAAACGAAAATGCCAGAGAGCTACTAATTTTAGTGGTCACAAGAAACACTCACCCTTGGTGAGCTGCTTGGAAGGAGGTGGAGAGATACAAGTAGGAGACTTGACTTAAAATCTAGTCAAGACCACTATTGAACCATTTACTCTTACATATCGTTGTATTCAGTCATCTTTTGGTCCTTTTCTGTTTGCTCTGTTGTCCCCGTCTCCCTCTCTTCTTTAAGAGAGGAGGAGGAGGGGTCACACACGTGTTACTTGAGTAACTTCTCGTCAGTTCCAGTTTGTCCACTCCAGCCAGCTTCCCCAGAGCCACGGCCGTTCTCTCATGGATCTCCTCCAGCTGGGCCAGGCGCAGGTCCACGGTCTGCTGTGAGGCCTTTATCGTGTTCTCCCGCTCATTCACCTTCTCCAGACGCAAAGATATGTTCTCCATTCTGCCGAAGGACAGATCAGGGTTAAGGCTACCTGAGACCCACAGACTGTATAAAGTGGACTAAGCCAGTGTGACACCCATGGTGTTCAGCTCCAGCCAAATTAAGATCGCTGAAGCTTCATAGTTCATATTTGTATCTTAGCGCGTCCATGCTCACTTCATAGTAGGAATGCAGTGGCTAGCAGGTTAGTTATGTCTATTTATATGTTTTATAGTGAGACCAGTGGAATCCCCATGTTCAGAAAGTCTGTCCGCGCTGATGCGACTTTGATGCTTTCATCACTGGACGACTGCTGCTCGTTGTCCTTCCTGAAGTACTCGGTCTCAGCTCTGGGAATAAAAACAGCTTTCATCATACTCATGTTTTAAATCTATGCTCTATTATTTCCCATCCAAAACCTTCTTGGATTGAATTCTGTGCCCTTTTGACAAACAGTTGTCCTATTATTAGTCTAGATTTAGCTGATTATAATAGTGTAATTTAGAGATTATACACACTGAGGCGGCAGTCCTTCTCATCTAGCTCCCCCTCCTGTCTTTTCTTGGCACAGCACTTGAACGATCAGCTCTGGAAGATGTATAGGTGACTGAGAATAATGAGGGGAGGAGGAAGAATGGGGCGGTGTCTGGATCTTCCACATCTGCTTCAAGATTCACTTCACCTCAAAGAATGTGTTATTGTGGGAAATGGAGGGTTCACAATTAATAAAACAGAACTCTAAATAGCAACTTTACTGTAAATATTCTATGTCAACAAATGCTTGGTTTAAAGTGCCTTTCATTGATAATGACTTTGCAATGAATGAATGATCAAAAAGAGTGGTTAATTATTATGTGTGCACCTGCATGCCTTTTGGTTGGCCAGCCGCACCCCATTTCCTGGGTACCAAGGGACATCTAAACCAGGTTTTTTACCAACATTGGGTCACAATTAAAGTTTCAAGTGCTTGTAAGTCTTGGAATAAGGAATACTTTGATACAAAGGTTAACATTTTTATTGATATTGGGAAATGCTATCTATGTTCTTATTCTGCATAGGTAACAGAAGAGGACTGCACTCACTTGAAGACGGCGATGAGCAGGTTGACGAGCAGGATGTTGGCTGCTACCAGGTAACAGGCCATGGTGGCTGGAGTGAGCCAGGGCCCAGGGATACAAGGAGTCAGCTTCTTCCCATCCTCGTCATACAGGTGCTCACCACAAGGGGCTGCAAGAGGACAGTACGTCTTAAATGTTAAATGTTTAAGTCTGATTTAACAAATACTCACGGTTGATTTCCATGGTGTAGACTTGTACGAATCCTCAAGTTAAAAAAAAAAAAAAAAAAAAAAGATTCAAGAGCATTAAAGTCACATTTATGCTGCATTATTTCAGAGCAAATATACTGTTTTCTATACAGATGCACTTATTTTGCTTTAAACTATCTAATCACACAAGTAATTACACTAGTGCAGGTCTCATTCTTCTCAGTTAGTCACTGTCATGAGTAGACATTTTAAAACAAAATGTAGATATAGCTTCAACTTTATGGGCAACAGTTATAGCAAAATAAACCAACAAAATTAGACAGTTATAAGAGTTTAGCTTTAGATTAGTTTAGTTTAAGTCTGTAGCTGTAAAGAAGGTACAATAGGATTCCATATTCTTTACATATAGGCCTATAACATTTTATGAAAATAGGGGAAAAGATAAAATTCGTTTTCAGGATCATACATAAACACCTCTATCCTAAAATCCTACATATTATACTTTTTAATGAGGCATGAATATTGTTTGTATTGGTCTTATGGAGTTATGATGTGTTTATGCTTCTTTAGCTCAGTTTTATTGTTAGGCTGGATAACATTTAGTTTCACTCCACTGATGCCTAAATGTCAGTAGAGTCGACATGACAATAGTCAAATGTGAATATATGTGGACCAATATATAGTCTTAAACACCCAATTCCACCTTGTGATGTCATGAAGTGGTAATACAAGAAGTGCTCCACTGTGTTTTAAACTCCATACACCTTCACTAGAATAATTTGGATGATTTCAGTGCTAGAATTTCCAATCTCTACTGAGCTAAAGATTTAAAGGTAGCTGTTAACTTAAACTGCACAAGGTGGAACAGAGCATTTTGAGCTTTGGAGATATAGACAGACTAATAATAAAGGGTTAATCAATCGCATTTGAACGAAACAAAACACAACTCCAGGTATGTTTTCGACGAGGGAATAACATAACATGATAGTTCACAAGAGAAAATTCTGCATAATATAGAACCTTTTAACAATGAAAGTAATTAAATGTTGTATTTACACTGAGCAGAAAATGACCAGCTGGCAGATGAACACAGTTTTAGTGCTGTTTTTTTGTATTATAGCTGTAAATGACAAAGATCATTTGCCCAGAATCAGGAAACCAAATCTTATTATGATTTCTAATCTTAGAGTCTATCGAGTCTGCAAAAACCTCCCCATAGATCATCCAGTAGAGCATGTAGAAGACGTTTCATGCAAGACACCATGTTGACTCCTTATCCGGCTGGAGCATGGCCTGACTCATGGCCTAAATTCATGAGCACCACCAGCATCTTCATCTGAAATAAGAGAAGACACATTCAGTTCTGCAAGCATTGTACAGTTCAAGACTATATTAAAAGTCTATGTGGGTTAAGTGTACTATATGTAACTTATGGTATGGTATTAAACTTCTTGCATTTATTCAATTAAAGGTGCTGTTTTTGCTCAAATACAGTGTATTGTTAGTGAGCTGGCTAGCATCTCTACAGATCTGACCTGTAACCTGCCACCTGCTTGCTTGAGACACAAATTTGACAAAAAAAGATCAGACACAAGATTAGGTCCGTGTGATCGAGACAAAATGAGATTTTCACATAATCTATCATTTTAAAAAATGTGCAGTTTCGGTTCAACATTTTTGTGTTTAACGTTTTTAGGCCCAAGCACCAGAAGCTGGTGAAGGGCCTATTAGTATCACAAAGCGATGCTCCTAGTGATCGGGAAGTGAAATGAAACGATGTGACTTGCCCGTAATGACCAGGGACCCTCGCCATGATGTAGGAATGTGCCAGAGCTTTCCGAAACTGTATAGCTTGTTATCCACAAAAAAAAAAAAAAAGCAGAACATTGTTCTTGTATCTTTTTCTTCACCAACTTTACAAACTTCACCCAAAAAATACTATTACACTAATGCTGTCTATTGGAAACACATTATGTCAAAGGGTGGAACATCAAAAGTTATCCAAATTTTTCACACACGTCTAATGGTGTCTGAGCAGTGAAGCAACAAAAATGGTTCAGAATTTCGGAAATCTTGAATTTTTACAAATTGCTCCCATTTGCACAAACAAACTCAGAGTTCAGTGAAATTTGAATCAGTTCTTCAACTCTCTGCCCTAAAGCTACTTAATTTGAAAAAAAAAAAATATATATAATAATAATAATAATAATAATAATAATAATAATTTGGCACATTAACCACCCCTTTTGAAACAAAATTTAATATAAGATTTTTTTTTTTTTTGGCAAAATCTGCATTATTATTATTATTATTATTATTATTATTATTATTATTATTATTATTATTATTATTATTATTATTAAGTATTATTACTGCAATGATAATAATACATTATTTTTTATTAATATAATATTAATTAATAATTAATAGTAATATATGCTTTTATTATTTATTTAATTGGTTTTGGTAAAAATAAATAAAGACAATTCATACATCTCTGTGGTTATTTGCAAAGATCAGCCAACTCTAGAAGGGGCTTGTGCACTGTGCCCCGCTTATTAGGCTTCAGTACAACTTTGATTAATTTGGGGAATTCATATTCAGGGTTATTTATATTTCTAAACAAAATCTGTTCACAATTTGACGTAGAAAGTGGAAAGTTAATGTGCGAAAATAGCCTAAATTTAGGGTAGTATCAGCGTGAGGACCCAGTGCGTCCAATGGGGGGCGACACAGGACAGCCACATTTAGCGCGTAATTTCAGCGCCTCTCCATAGCCCCTCCAGCACCTTCCTCACTCCACTTGTGGGATCAGCAATTCAGATCGCATGCAAATCTGAAGGAGAGAGAGGAACGGTGGAAAAGAGAGGGAGAGAGCGGCACATTCCTAAAGACACAGCTCCCGGGCCTTCCTCTTCCTTCCGGGTGTCTCCTCTCTTCCTTCTCCACTTCCAGCCGGCGGCGGCGCACACGCTCGGACCGTAGCCGGGGTACAGATGCTGTATCTGGGCTGCAGCGTGAACAAGCACTCTGCTCGCCCTTAGCTAAGTTCATACGAGCGCTCAACTACACGGACTTTGTGACTGATAGTTTGTGCTTTCAAAACACTCGTTGGAGCGTAAACAGATTTTGCGCGGAGTGAAACTTTTTTTGCTCCTTTCTCCAGCCATGGGATCCCAGCGGACAGCGGCACTGCTCGTGGCCGGACTGCTAGTCGCTCTTAGTGGACACTGCGGAGCCAGTTGCCCCGAGAGGAACCTGGAGGATCGGGAGGATGAGGCGAACATAGTTTTGACGGGAACTGTGGACGAGATTATTAACGTGGACCCGGTACACAACACGTACTCGTGCAAGGTAAGAGTGAGCAGCCATTCAAAAGTCACAACCAGTGCACATGAGGAGGAGACACCTGCCTCTGCTAAACTCGGGCTATTTGCACGGATAAAACTCCGCAGACACTGTACTGTTTTATTGGGAATTTGATGAGCACACAATTACACGTCTTATTATAACATTTTAACAACTACACAACTAGGCTATGGATATTACTCTATAATACAATTACAAAAATTAAGGTTTTTGCCAGTTGTCTAGGCTATCAGAATTACATTTTCCTTTGCAAACAATTTTAGTTCACTCGACCTACACAAATAATGTGGGACTATAAAATAAGATCGCTATGACTGCAGTGACCTAACTTTCAAATGGATCTTATTGCTTATAACGTCATGCAAAACAACAAAAAAGAAAATTCTGCAGCTGATTGGACAATATATGTGCTTCAAGAGTTATTTCACTTAGGACTAGTTACACATCTATTACAGTGGCCCAACAAGCATGCAGTCATCCTCAACATGTTGCAGCAGGAAAGTGGCCCCTGAGTGGCCCTTGGCTGCGGCTCTTTTGTATGATTAAAATCTCTGCTCCTGTCTACTACTCCCCAGCGGCTGTGTCACTAATAGCTCTTATGGTGGATTACCGATAGTTATACCCATGTTAGGACCTATGGATGCTCTTATGAATTGTGGTGTAATGCACAGAACCAATTTTAGTCCAGGAAAGTCAATTTAGTGCCTATAAATTATTCAGCATTTACTTTAGTTAATCTAGGTTGATTCATTAAATGTGCAGCATGTAACTTTTCTGGTTGAAGGACTGCCATCTACTTGTCTTAATAGCGTGAAAATGGTTCACAGTATACAGATCCATCTTGCATTTATTCAGTCCAGGTGTTTCTATTGCTGAAACATACTCTTACAAAAACCTACATTCTTACTGTGAGTGAGGACGCCACTCCGCAGATCTGACCTGTAACTTGTATTTGACCTGTTATTGCCACTTGCATGGTGATAGTTTAATATCATACTGTGGAACATTACAGGCAAAGCAATGACAACTCTAGGGAGACAGAGAGGTAGTGGACCCTCAATCAGAAAGGTTATATAATGCACCTTTATACAACAATCTTTTAAAACTTTTGTCAGGAGTGTTTTAAAAGTGCATTCATTGCACAGCATTTCTAATGGAGGGTCCGCCGCCTGCTATCTCCATGGAAATGTTATTTCTTTCTCTAGAATGTATCCACAGTTTAGCTTAAACCTATTGATCACAGGCAGGTTACAGCACTACACTACATTACAGTTTCGATCTGTGGGGAGGCGCCCCTATTTACAGAAGGAATTATTGTGTTTTTGAGCAATAGAAACACCCATAATGAATAACTAAATAGATATGTTTAATCTCAAACCATGGACCATTCCAGTGAAAGCAATAACATCTCCATAAAGACAAGTATGTAGCGGACCCTCCACCACAGAAGTTGTGCAGTGAACCTTTAACTTTAAAATCGCGTGTCCTTGCTTATTTTTGTATTGGTATCATGTTCTTTGATATACAATATTCTCTATACCATCAACGAGATAAGATTTCAATTTTGGTTAGCCTTTTACGTTAGACCGTATATTCATTGTCACCTGCTAACTTGTGCCTTACAGCCACATTCTTTCTCAAATTTGAACTCCTGAGTCATAGTAGCTGTAGTGAAACACAATCCTATGCTTTGCCTGAAGGAAGCCGCCTGCCTCTGTCCCTGTTCCAGGCCCAGTTATTGTAAAAGTCCTTTAGCACTCCGCCGCTCTCTTGTGGTGCACCACTCTATGATCTGTCAAAATAAACAGGCAGTGTTTGGTCAGCGAGCCTTTCCTCAGAGTTAGCGGACACTGGTTTCCCGTCTGCAGCTGAATGAATGGGGCAGATTAGACGTGCACTGCTCCAGAGTGAGGCAGACTTGAGAGGGAAGTGCAGAGGAAGGCCAAACTTATCATGACTCAACAGAACACACACACCGCTCAATGTGCTGTCATGAAGTCTGTGTAATAGGGCTTAGTTATCAGTATCGTATCGTGTAATTGTCTGCTGTGCTAGATTTATTGCATTACTCAGTTACATTTTTCTGCACAGTAATAGAAAAAAAGTAGAATTTGACACTTAGAGCACAGATTAAACCTATTATTGCAATTCTGTCTGATTTAAAAGTAGTGGTAAAAAACATTTTCCTTGTAACATTAGCCAATTTTCAAGCAAGTATTTCTTTCTATAATGTCAAACGGATTATACAATTGTACTGGTGAATATAATGCATTGGGCCATTTGTCAATCTATTTTTGTTTATTATTTAACTAAGGGAACATTCACACTTGATATCTGTTCCTAAATTTAGCCCATTTTAGTCTTAATGTGGACTTGGCTTAGTCCTGTTCCAGTCCTTGTTTAGTCCTGGTCTAGACCAGTTTTAGTTTTGAGTTTACTCCAGGTTTAGTCCTAATTTTCATATACCTTTACTGCCAAAAAAAGCTATTAGCAAGTTTCTATACAAAAGACCTATACAAAACTACCCATAACAAGAATTATATTAAGTTATAATTTTGGGAATCTGGTATTTCTATGTTTGAATGTATTACTACAATTTATATTTTTTTCTTATTATAACTTACTGTGATGTGTGAGCTATTGCGTCCATATAAACTTTATTGATCCACAAGGGAAATTAAGTTTTAGTATAGAAGCATAAAGAATGACAAGCGATTTAACAAAAATGTTATAACATTTCAAAAGTTCTACAAAGTTGTAATACTTTTTGTTGTATATTTCCTACAGGTCAGAGTGTGGCGTTATCTGAAAGGCAAAACCACCGTGAGCCGTGAAATCCTGTTGGACGGAGGAAACAAGGTGATGATCGGCGGATTCGGTAACCCCGGCATCTGTGACAACCAGGTATCCACAGGAGACACGCGCATCTTCTTCCTCAACCCAGCCCCGGAGTACATGGGCCCTGAACACAAGAACGAACTCATGCTCAACTCCAGCCTGATGAGGATTACCCTGCGCAACCTGGAGGATGTGGAGCACTGCGTGGAAGGTAGGAAACTGCAGAAACCAAGGAGCGTGAATGCTAACATAGTGTGGCAGGTGCATCTGAGCTAGACTTTTCATGTGGAGTTAGACGTGTGTGATGTGATGGAAGTAGATGGATAAGAAGGATGATCCAGAGGCCCAAAAGACAGATAGTAGATTATATTATCAGTTTAACTTTTGTGCAATTGATGAATGACCTGTAATGGTGCCTGATTTTATTTGGAGTGTCTTGTTGTTTATTATTGGCCATACTGCAGTTTAACGGCTAAATTGAATAAATATGGTCATCCTTTTTTGTACTGAAATTTAAAGCCCTAAATGGTATTTTTAAAAACACAATTTCCTGTTCTCAATTTACTCTACTCAATGTGAAGTAACTGGGTGCAGTGTTGTTGGATCACACAAGTATCCTTTATTCCAATACAGTCTTATAAATACACAGAAACAGATACTGTCAGGGTTTGAGATTGTACTTTCTGTTGGCTTAAAAGAAAAAGAAAAAAAAACATCTGTGTTGTGTTACCTATTTAACAACCAAGTAATCTCATTCAACACTTTATTAAGGCTGTAAACAGTGTAATTCTAAACTATTACCAGCAAGACGTAACTCATAATGAACACAGAAGTTACGATTACTGATACTACTTAATTCTAACCCCTTAATTAAGTAATTACTAAGCTGGACTCATTCTTAATAAACTATTTGTTCATTATGAATTAAGTCTTTCATCGTGCTTTATTACGATAATGTAATGTAATGGGGTATGGCATTGACTCAGAACTACCACTGGTGTTCTGAACTCTGCAACACAGTGAATCATCATACAAATACATACATCATACAATTTATCATTGAAAAAAATGGCACGCAATGCTTTTTTTTTCTTCTTATGTCCTTTTTTCAATCTTTCACTCTTATTCACTCACTGGTATGCACCGCCATGAAGTTATGCTGTATTGAACCCAAGCTGTACAGTCATGCTTACTGACTCTTGTTGACTCAGAACAGCAGCAGTAACAGTTTTCACAAAAGCATAGCCAGGGGCGTTGGGGTCAGATCTTCTCAGCCTGTCCTTGCAGGTGGGTGTGTCCGGAAAACACCTTTAGGACACTGCTTTAGTGCTGCTCTCTGACCCTTGCACCCTGTAGACAGGCTGTTTTATAACTCACAGGTAGCCAACAGTTTGAGAGACAGGTTCCCATACTTTCAGCCAGTACTAATAGGTTAATTATTGTGTAACTTTATTGGAGTGATAATAAAGAAGAATTTGTCACTCGGAAAGTTTTTTTAATTTTGATGGCCATCAAAAGATAAGTCAAAACAAGTTGTCTAACCATATTTTGTAAGGAAGTTATTTGGTTAGGTTGAGTGCTTTATATTTAGGCTTTGCTAAACTTGGGTTTTCTTGTAGGTTAGTATTGTTTAGTAGCCTGGGATCCAGAATACACACTTCTTCAGTACTTTACAAAGATGAGTGTGGTTACAGGTAAATCTCCCAGTTTTCAAATGAGTGCGATTGACAGGTGGATTAGCCAATCACACGCACGGTCTGGCTGTAACAGTGTGGATTTCTGTAGAATCAATAAGCAATGCACCAAACTCTGTTAATCTTAATTAAAGTGAGATAAATTAGATTTTATTTGTAAATAATAGGTGACAAATGAGCGCCTTCATTTTACATGCATCACTGAAAAAAAACAAATCTGATTGCAAGATCACATTTGGCCGGACTTCAGACGCAAGGAAGGGCGTGGGGACCAGACAGATATCAATCTTTATAAAAATACAAAGAAATCATTCTGGATTCACCAGGCAAATTGTTTTGGTTATGCCAGCTCTCTTCAAACTGCATTCAGTTGAATGCCATCTTGGCCAGACACTCTGCCGCCGCTGCCAGTTTATTATTGTGCTGATTCATGACAAATTCAACATCTTCTCATTATGCAATTTAATATGAACTTACAAAAATGCATTTAAGCATTATAATAGAAAAGTACTTTATGCATATATTTCTACTATGACCCCTTTATGTATCCCATTGATTTACTTTGTAGGTGTGGAGCAGCAGAGGAGTACATTGAATACCTCTTTCCTTACACGGCCTTATTTGGTTGAAAAGTAATTTGTCAAGCTCTTATGAGATGACCCATAGAGCCATGACTAATAAATTCAACCACCATGACTGCAAGACTGTAGCCCCTCCAGTGTTGAACTCTTTCTGCCACTTGACTATGTTGGCAGCCAGTCAAACTCAGAAGCATTACTGGCAAATCATTCTCAGCACGAAACCACCTTGCCGAGGGCTTTTTGAGTCAGGATTTGGAATTCTGGACTCTGCATTCCGGGTGCTTTCCTCTCAATGGTTCCGGGTGGCGGGATGTTCCAAGGGACTGGGTTTGTTTGCAGTGTTAAGTTGCATTTGGCGCACACATAAAACTTCTTCTGTTTGTCTGTCAAGGCACGAAACAGTGCACTGCTAACCTTTTCATTGAGCCCGTCTTTTCTTGTCCCGGGACTCCTGTTGTGGAGAGGGGAGTTTCTTGGCGAAGATAAATGTTGGTGAATGCAGGGCTTTCTGTGGCAGGGCTTTGTGTTTGAAGAGTTTTTTTTGTCCACACAAACCTGATTTCTGCATATTATCTTACAGTGCAGCTGATAATGGAAGTACAAGAATTTTAGGAATCAGCAAGAATAGACCTTCATGGAATACACTTGTGTAAACTGAATACAAAGACCAACAATATTTTCAGAATAAAAACACAGACAAAACATATTAGAATTAGGCCTGCCACGATACCTACTATATCAACCTCAATATATGATAGATGGGGGAGGGTCAGTTTTTATCACAAGTATTTTTTTCTTTGTGCTAGTGGGAATTTTTGTTAATTTTTTCTACAGTATTATCAAATCTGATCTGTAGAAAGTTGAATTAAGTAAAATTACACAGCCTAATTACAAAAGTGTTGCATTATGCTATTTATTTATTTATTACTTTTTAACAATATTGTACATTTAGAATACTTTTTGTAGATAATTCTGCATTATGGTTTGTTTTCAACATTATCAGTTAGAGTCTATATTTCCTTCAGCAATATATCAAACTTCAAAATTTGTTATTGTGACAGGCTAATTAGAATATTACATGCAAATAAATTATACCAGCCACAATGATACATATTCATATTAAAGATGCTATAGTTTGTGATTTTCAAACCATAGAAGGAGGAAGAAACTTTGGAAGTCTTTTTTGGGCACATGCACTACTCCTATAAGAGCTTTTTCAGACGAGGAAGTGAAGCAGAATGAACCACCAACGCACAGCTAATGAGCTCTCATCCCACAGCATCATATAGGGACACACATGGCTCTTTCTTACAAGTTTTACAATCAATTAGGTGTTTTAAAATGTTACGCAGACATTGCACAGCCGTCTGATTTTGTCACAAAGTCCTGCTTTTATAATCTACTCAATTGTAGGACAGTCAAAATGTACAAATTTACAAAAGAAAAGTTGGGTTAATGTTGTTAAAATGTGGTAGATCACCAAGAACACCAAAAGAAAAAAAAAATCTTGTAATCTGATTCTGCTTTAAAGGTGCAGTGTATAACGTTTCTAGTGGAGGATACACCTTTTTCTTTTCTTTAGGGAGATATTATTGCTTTGCTTTGTATGTTCCATGGTATGGAATTAAAAGTCTAGCCTTTGTTTCATTAGAGTTGATTTTATTGTTCCAAAATACCTTTAAGAACATGCATTCTTGTGTGTTCTTGCCTCTCCACTGAACTGATCTGTACCTTGGCCTGTTTGTCTCCATGGAGACAGACACATTAAATGTCTTACTGTGACATGTTCCTGGCTGAAAAGTTAAGTCTAATAATCTACATGGAGACAAGCATGCAAAAAACAAGCTCCCAAGAAAAGTTACACATCGCACCTTTAAGTCATATTAGAGCATATGCAAAACCAATATGATTAATTTAATTTAAACTATACAAATACTTGTATTACTAATTTATTTCTAAATTTTTTTCTAACTGTTCCTGATTAGTTTAAGATTATGCACCACGACAAAACTCTTGTGTTGTTTAAAGGTGCAATGTGTAACTTTCTGGGTGGAGGGTCCGTCACCATGGAGATGTTGTTGCTTTGCCTGGAATTTTTCAGTTTGATATTAAACTTATCTATCTTCATGAAGACAAGCATCATAAAAATTTACAGGTCTGTTTTTTGGAGAGGTGCATCCGCTTACAGTAGAACCTGTATTTTTCATTTTTTACTGTTAAAAACACCTATAATTAAATATTAAGCACGTTAGAGCCATACTGTGGTACATTCCAGGGAAAGCAGTCTCCCCAGCATATCTCCATGGACACAATCAAGTGCTGGACTCGAACCAGAAAAGTTACATAGTGCACCTTTAATGAAAGAGGCCCTGATAATTAGCCGCCTTCTATGGCTCTATCCCGGGAAGAGAACGGCTTTACTTCTTGTTACAGAACAGCACCGTTTTAATTAAGCCAGTCAAGTCCGATCTCATTCTCTGCTCCCAGACTGCACTGGGACAAGACTGTACCTGCCGCCTCCTTCGTACCCTCCTCTACTCGCCCCTCATTCCTGACATTTTCGATAGCTAGGATAGACTTTGGAATGCCTGGCAGAGAAGTGGAGAGGTGGGGAGGTTCATTGTCTAAGAAGATGGAATAAAACAGGCTTTGTGTGTGATGTTGTTGTAACTACAACTTTACGAGAAATAAGACATTGATGATTCAGGATGGTATTCGTATGGATTAGTACTAGCCCAAGGGATAAAATTACTGTCTCTTGACTCATAGCGAATGATGGTGCAGTAGTGATCATTTGGCAGTAGAATATATGGCCAGAAGGAAGCTTTCACCAAAGAAGATTTCAACAAGCTCTTGAAACTTCAACCCAAACGCATAATGTTGCAGATAAAAAAATTATTTGAATAAAAAGCATGTTTTTCTTGTTTTGGATGGGT